AGAGATTTTCGCTATAGGGCGCGTGCGCTTGCCAGACAGACAGAGAGAGACAGAGAGACAGAAAGCGAGAAATCACCCCCCAGGGGGGATGGCCACGCCACAATCCCTTCTCCTCTGTTCTCCTCTCGGGATCTTGGGCATGCACGCACACGCGCCTGGCGTGAGTTTTAAGTCACCAGGTCCGGGATGCGAACCGCAGTCAACTACATGGGAGTCCAGCGACATAGCCATTACGCTAACTGCTGGTTTTCTAAATTAAATAATTCTTAAAAAGCAAGTTACAGAAGACAGTATACAAAATGATTTCATTTTGTAAATATTGAGAAGCAGGAAAAAGTAAGAATATTTGGGGTCTTCACAAAGTTCATAGGAAATGCATATTATGAAAAACTATGCATGAATTTCAATTTTTTTTTTTTACCAAAATAAACTCATACTTTAAAAATGTATTTGATACTATAGCACAGGTGTGCTTGCTGGACAGAGAGAGAGAAAGAAAGCACCCCCTGGGAAATGACTACACCACAATCCCTTCTCTTTCTTTTTTTTTTTTTTTGGAGAGGTTTTCACTATAGGGCGTGTGTGCTCGCCAGACAGACAGAGAGAGACATAGAGAGAGAAAGCGAGAAGTCACCCCCCAGGGGGGATGGTCACGCCGCAATCCCTTCTCCTCCATTCTCCTCTCGGGATCTTGGGCACGCATGCACACATGCCCGGCGTGAGTTTTAAGTCACCGGGTCCAAGACGTGAACCGCGGTTGACTACGTGGGAGTCCAGCGACATAGCCATTACGCTAACTGCTGGTTCCCAATCGCTTCTCTTTCATTCTCCTCTCAGGATTTTGGGTACGCATATGCACACACACACACGCATGTGTGCATGTGCTCACATGCTTTTCAAGCCCCCGAGTCTGAGACTAAAACCAGTCTGGGGGACCAGCAGATGGTGTAGTGGTTACATCACTGGACTCCCATATAGTTGACCCCAGTTCAAGTCCTGGACCCGGTGGCTTAAAACTCACACCAGGTGTGTGTGTATGTGCGCCCAAGATACTTAGAGGAGAATGGAGAAGAAGGGATAACGGTGTGGCCAGCCTCCCTGGGAGTTGATTTCTTACTTTCTGTCTCTCTGTCTCTCCAGTAAGCGCAAGTGCCCTATAGCAAAAATCTCTCTAAATACACACACACACACACACACACAAACAAAATAGCAAACAAACAAACACCTTGCACAGTTGCCTATGTGGGATCTAGCTCTTTAACCGCCATGTCACTGGCTGGCCCTAAACTGTACTTTAATTCCATTTTCCCACACTTTGTGAAGTCCCTTTGTATATTGTTTGAGATGACATATCTCGGTGGTGAAACCGTAAAGAAAACCAAGGGGCTGGTAAATACAAAGTGCCCTGATTTGGGGCAGGATTATGATAGAACAGGCATTGGTGATGTTCTGTGTCCTGACCTCAGCTCGCTGTCGGGCTGGTGCGGCTTCCAGATCAGCCGTGGGAAGGGGACAGCCTTCGAGGCCCACAAAGAAGCAGCAAACGGAGAGCCCTGTGTTTCATTTCTGCTCATTCCAGGGGTAGGTAGTGATGAGACAGAAGGCTTCGGGTGGCCTGGACACCCAGGGGGGTCAGGCAGTCCCTGACAAGAGTCCAAGAGCGGGAGGAGGAAGGCAGAGGGGCTTCTGTAAGCCAGCACGGGCCAAAGACTGAGTGACTTCCCGGCTGTCCACCTGTGCTAATGCTGCCCGCTGTCAACCCGAACCTGGTGGGCGCAGGCTGAGGAGCCGAGACCACGGCGTCTGCTGCTCCTGGACTCCCCAGTAGCCTTGGTGACCTCTCACCTTGTCCCGTCTGTGTCTGGCCACCAGGTATGTGAAGACCTATCTGCTGCCTGACAGGTCCTCCCAGGGAAAGCGCAAGACTACAGTCCAGAAGAACACGGTGGACCCGACCTTCCAGGAGACGTTGAAGGTACTTGCGGGGTACACGCCCACGTGCCGGTCCTCCCGCCCGCTGGGCACTCGTCCGAGGAGGGCCCCTCGGGCTCTGCAGGCGGTTAAGCATAAGCGCACGCTGCGTGTGGCCCCGGCTCTGTCAATCAGTGGTGAGTTGGTGGAATGTAAATTCCAGCCTTTGTACAGGGAAAGTGCCGACGTGGCTGGACTTGCGAATGGCTTCCGATTAATGATTTCCCAGGAAATGGTGATAGACAACCTGGCTGCCTTTTTGTCTCAGGCTGCCGATCGGGTGTTTAAAAATTGGTTTGTCTTGTTGAATTTTTATGACTATCAGAGGAGCACTCGCAAGCAGGGTCCCCTGAAAATTAAGCTACTGTCTGGGAACCAGCAGTTAGCGTAGTGGCTATGTCGCTGGACTCCCATGTAGTCGACCGCGGTTCGCGTCCTGGACCCGGTGGCTTAAAACTCACGCCAGGTGCGTGTGCGTGCGTGCCCAAGATCCCGAGAGGAGAATGGAGGAGAAGGGATTGTGGCGTGGCCATCCCCCTTGGGGGGTGATTTCTCGCTTTCTGTCTCTGTCTCTCTCTCTGTCTGTCTGGTGAGCGCACGCGCCCTATAGCGAAAAACCTCTAAAAAAAAAAGAATTAAGCTACTGTCATCGCAGTGCTCCTTTGTTGGACGACCGAGCAAACCTGGGTTTCTTATTGTATACATGTATGTTATTTTTGTTAAAGTTTATTTATTCCATGAGAGAGAAGAGCACCCCAGCAGGGTGCCCCCTTGGCCACCCACATCCAGCCTCAGCTGGCTAAGCACACCACAGTGATACCAGTGTGCTCAGGGAGGGCCTGGGACGCGAACTCGGGTCCCTTCCTTTTTATTTTTTTTGGAGAGGATTTTGCTATAGGGCATGTGCACTCGCCTGACAGACAGAGAGCGACAGACAGACAGAAAGCGAGAAATCACCCCCCAAGGGGGATGGCCACGCCACAATCCCCTCTCCTCCATTCTCCTCTCGGGATCTTGGGCACGCACGCACACACGCCCGGCGTGAGTTTTAAACCACCGGGTCCGGGACGCAAACTGTGGTCGACTACGTGGGAGTCCAATGACATAGCCATTATGCTAACTGCTGGTCCTCCATTAACTTTTGATGACCTCCCTCCCTCGTACAGCCTGAGGCAGGTGTTAGAATCCTCATTTCCCAGGGGACAAACCAAGACCTAGAGAGTACTTAGAAATACACCTAGACAGGGCCAGCAGATGGAGTAATGGTTACGTTGCTGGACTCCCATGTGGCCTCCGCAGTTTGAGTCCCAGATCCAGTGGCTTGAAACTCATGCTGGGCGTGTCTGCGTGCGTACCCAAGATCCTGAAAGGAGAATGGAGGAGAAGGGATTGTGGTGTAGCCATCCCCCTTGGGAGGGTGACTCCTCACTTCCTCTCTGTCCCTCTGTCTTTGGTGAGTGCACACACCCTATTCCAAAAGTCTCTTAAAAAAAATTTAAAAAAAGAAGAAGAAGAAGAAGAAGAAATACATCTCGAAGCCGAAATGGACTGACAACCTTTCTCAAAATTTGTGCGCATAGAAATCCCCAGGAGATTTTTTTTTTTTTTTTTAATTCAGCAAGTGGGTGGGGCCTAAGAAGCTGCTTCTCTAACAAGCTCAGGGTACTGCTGGTCTGGGGGTACAGGCAAAGCCACTCACTGGGGACTGCCTTCTGGGGGTTTGCTCATGCACCTGCTCAAAGGGTTTTGAAAAACTGGGCCAGCTCTGTGGCTTCTGCGGAAATTAAGTGAGATGCCATACGGCTGACAATGCAGTTCTGATCTTGGCCCTGGCAGCTTGCGAGGCACACGGGCACTTGTACATGTGCACCTGAAGTCCCAACGGGACAGAGGGGACAGGCTGCAGCGTGGCCACGCTCTGTGGGAGGTGCTTCTCTCTCTCCCCCCACCTCTCTCTCAGGGTCTCTCTGCTGAGTGCATAGGCCATCTGGCAATAAAAACAAAGAAGAAAAACTATGTGCTTCCTCCTGTATATTAAGCTGATGCCTAAAATTACTCATCATAAATTTAATTACAGTACTTTGTACTAAGGAGAAGTTTATGAAATGAGATAAAGATGAGGATTGACTATATGTTAGATAAATATTTAATTATAGGGATCTATTTTTAAAAGTTTACCTACCCTATTTAAAATGCACATAAACTAGGCCAGGTAGGTGGCATAGTGGTTAAGGCAGCTGGATCCCACATGGACAACTACGCAGTTCAAGTCCCGGACCTGGTGGCTTAAAACTCACGCTGGGTGCATGTGCGTGTGTGCCCAAGATCCCAAGAGGAGAATAGAGGAGAAGGGATTGCAGCATGGCCATCCCCCCAGGGGGCTGTTGCACTTTCTCTCTGTCTCTTTCTGGCAAGCACCTATAGCAAAAATTTAAAAATAGCGGGCCCCAGTGGCCTAATGGATAAGGCACTGGCCTCCTAAGCCAGGGATTGTGGTTCAAGTCCCACCTGGAAAAAAAAATGTTTTTTAAATGTACATAAACTGTCAAATCACTTAAAATTTTTATCCATGGGCTTTACCTGGTATATCGTGAATATGGATTGAGTATTCTCATCTGAAAATTCAAAATCTGAAATGCTCTGAAATCCAGACCTTTCCGAATGCCAATGTAACCCTACAAGTGGGAAATTCCACACGTAGTCTCAGGTGACAGTTTGCAGTCAAAATGCTGCAATAAAAAAATATCATATAAAAGTACCTTCAGGCGGGACCAGCAGATGGCGTAACGGCTATGTTGCTGGACTCCCACTTAGTCGACCACAGTTCGAATGCTGGACCCAGTGGCTTAAACACACATGGCACGTGTGCGTGTGTGCCCAAGTTCCCGAGAGGAGAATGGAGGAGAAGGGATTGTGATGTGATCATCCCCCCTGGGGGGTGATTTATTGCTTTCTGTCTCTCTCTGTCTTTCTGGCGAGCACATAGCAAAAATACCTTCAGGCTCTGTGTATGAGCGTACACAAATTCTTGGCTTATAGTCCCATCCCCAAGTTACCTCATTATGTATATGTAAGTATTCCAAAGTCTGGAAAAACATGAAATTAAAAATAAAAAGTAACATACTCTACTCCCAAGCACTTCTCCAGATAAGGGATACTCAGTCCGTATTTTGTAGTGTACCTGGGAAACTTTGCGGGTGCACTTGAAGAACCGATGTGTCCTATCTATTCCAAATTCAGAACACTCCAGCACAGGCCAGCCGTGTCCCAAACAGACATGAGCAGCTATGGGGCGTCTCCCGGCAGGGCCCTGGGCGCACGCTGGCAGGAGCACGCCCGGCCCGTGGGGGAGGCTGTGCGGCCAGGAGGGGCCGGCAGCTCGGCTGACCCTCTGCTCTGACCCTGCAGTACCAGGTGGACCCTGCCCAGCTGGCAGCCCGGCGGCTGCAGGTCTCCGTGTGGCACCTGGGCACGCTCGCCCGGAGGGTGTCCCTTGGAGAAGTGATGATCCCTCTGGCCACGTGGGACTTCCAGGACAGTGCAGCACAGTCCTTCCGCTGGTACCCACTCCGGGCCAAGGTAATGTCCACTTTGGGGCCCAGTGCACCACACCCTGCTGCGGCACTTGCTGCTCACTTTCTCAGGGATCCCACGAGAGAAAACCTACCTGGCGAGCTCAGCTCAGGGACTGGGCTTCCCGGCCGCCGGCTGGGAACTCACGTAGAGCTTCACGGGCCTCGGGAGGCTCACGGTGGGCTTCCCAGTGGGGGTGGGCTCAGGCTGTGTTTCACTGGCCAGGTTAGGGCCGGTCCCTGAACACCCAGCCCTGGGAGTCACACACAGCTAGACTGGACCTGTTGTCACCTCGTGTCCCTCACAGCTGACCTGTGTGGTCATGCCACCCCCTTGGTGGGGGGCACGGTCAGGCCAGCTGTTTCCCAGCTCTCAGCCCCAGGTGCTCCACCACAGGGACAGGTGAGGAATGGCCGCCCCGCTGCCAGGTAGGCAGAGGCCGGCGCAGGCTGGGTGCGACTCGGGGTCCTGCTCGGACTCGCAGCCGAGAAAGATGGGCAGGGCAGAGAGGCCAGGAGGAGCAGGCCTTTGGGTGAGGGCTGTGGCTCCAGCCTGTGCAGACTGGCAGGCAGGCCGGGGGAGACGCCAGCATTTCCTCTGCTTTGCACACTTAGACGCCAAGTCCAAAACCAGGAGAGATGTGAGGCCGAGCGAGGGCGGACCTCCAGCTTGTCTTGTCTCCGAGGAAAGGTGGCAGGGGTGCCACCCATCAGCCGAGGCTGCACATGGCCGAGGCTTTGTGTCCCCTTGGGCATAAGCTGGCCCCTCCTTTCCTCGCGGAGCCAGGGCAGCTGGGGTTCATGACACCTCCGCATCTCCATGGGGGGAACCTCTGTTCTGCTGCCACTCCAGGCGGAAGCCTGGGGCCCTCAGCTGGCGTTCCTCTGTCACTTCCTGGCCTGGTCCCCTGCCATGCCGCGACGTGCCTGCACCATCTCTGCTCGGTCCCGAGCTCCCTCTAGGCCCTCCATGCCCAGGATCTGCCGGGAAGGCCTTCCCTGTCCACCATCTGCCCAGGACTCCCGCCCCCTCCATGTGCTCTGAGAGGAGAAAAGCGAGCTGGTCTCTGCTCTCACCAACGGCATGGATCCCGGCCGGGGTCCCAGAAAATATGGGGAGCCCACTCCCAACCAGCCAGCCGTGGTGCGGGCGCCCGCGGTGCTGACTTCAGCAGACACTGCCTGCCTGGCCGCCCTCCGAGGCCAGCCCCAAGCCCACGGCCGTGATGAGTTGTCCAGAGCGGCTCAGAACTCGGGGACGGCTTCCCGAAGTGGGCGGTCTGCGGTAAAGGCTGTGGGGAGAGGCGCCCGGACGAGGCTGTGGGAGCCACGGAGCCCTCTCAGGCACCACCCTCCACGTGTTCCGGCGTCTGGGGTCCCCTCGAACCCCGTCCTCTTGGATCCTTACAGAGACCTCATTGCACGGCCGACTGGAGCTGGGGCAGCCGTGTGGATGTGGGAGGTGTCAAAGGGAACGTGCGGATTCCCGCCCCGGTGTGGGTGGGCCTTCTGGAATGAGGGTCTTTGAGGGTGGGGAGATTGGAGCTCCCCTGACCGCCTGGGGCTAGATTCGGCAGCCTGCGTGGGGAGGAGGAGCAGGGCAAGGGCAGGCCGTGTCACCCCACCTCTGAAGCTGCTCCTGGGCCGCTCTGGGCAGCACGGCCATTTATTCAGGACCCAGGGACTATGGGTGCGCCTGCTAGTGGGGTATCACTGCGCCTTCCCTGGGGCTCTTTGCCAGAGAGGTTGCCCCATGGGGTCCAGCACTTGGGTGCCCTGCCCGCCTTCTCCCCACTGAAGTCTGGTAATCGGGGTGTCCTACCCACTGTCTCTCTTCTCCTGGACCCAGTACTTGGGTGCCCTGCCTGCTTCTTTCTCCCCCTGGAGTCTGGTGATTAGGGTGCCCTGCTCACCTTCTCCCCCCTGAAATCTAGTAATTGGGGTGCCCTGCCTGCCTTCTCCCCCCTGAAATCTAGTAATTGGGGTGCCCCACCCACCTTCTCCCCCCTAAAATTTAGTAATTGGGGTGCCCCACCCACCTTCTTCTCCCTCTGGACCCAGTACTCAGGGTGCCCTGTCTGCCTTCTCCCCCCTGAAATCTATAACTGGGTGCCCCGGCCGCCTTCCGCCCACCCCGGGACCCGTACTCGGGTGCTCTTGCTCCTTCTCGGCCTCTCCTGCATCTTCCCGCCTTCTGCCGCAGCCCTCCTGCAGAGCAGCTGCCTGTCCGCTGTGCCTTTCTCACCTCCCCGTGCCCGCAGCTCTGTCATCACTCAGACTAGCCACATGCCCCAGGACTGCCCTCCCTGCCTGCTGGCCGGACTGGGACCCACACCCTTATCAGAGATCCATTGCTCATGCCCTCCACCTCTGAGGCCCCTGTTACCAGCCCGATGACAGGGCCTGGGACATGTCTCCTGCCAGCGCCTGAGCCCCGGCCTGGCGTAGGACCAGCCACCGAGGTTTCCAGCCTGCGCGTCCGGCAATGGTGAGGAGCAGCGTGAGCTGACAGGCGTCCCTCCCAGAGCTGGGCGCCCCGCCCTGTCCAGGGTGGTGTTGCGAGTATCTGCTCATAGACCTCCCCAAGGTCTCCAGTGGGGGGTGGCGCATGAGTTTGGCTCCTAGTTTCTGGAAGGTGAGGTTGGAGGCAGCTGATCTCACTTGGCACCCAAGGGCCAGGCTGAGAAGCTTCAGATGAGAGCTGGGCCACAGGCCCCAGGAACCCTGAGCCCTTCCCTGAGCTGGGGGGACATCTCTGCTGGTGGGGTCTGCACGGCAGAGTGGACTAGATGTTCCCAGAGCACCCCCAGAAACACCTCCCCACCTACCCGGTGAAGGGCTGACTGGATTTCAGGATCATCTTTTCAGAGCCTTCACAGACTTTCCAGCAAAGTCAGACATGAAGCCACCTCAGTAGACAGGGAGCTGTCCTCAGCAGGGTGTCAGGGGCCGGGTGGGGCCAGACACCTGCAGTCTGGAGTCTCCCCAAGCCCCTGTGGCTCGGAGCTGGAAGCCATGTCTAGCCTCCTCGTAGTCCTTGCATGGAAGGGCTCTCTCTAATAAGGCGAGTGGGATCCACAGGGGGGTTGGTTTTATTCAGTTTTGTCAAACTCAGGGTGTGTCCAGGCTTTCTCAGGACTGTCCCAGGGGAAGGGCTGCTGGCTCTGAGCCTTGCTGTGGTTGTCACTTCCCATGCCGGGGGTGGAGAGGGAGGGTGTGAAGGTGCCATGGATGGAAAGCAGGCGAGTCCTGCTGCGGACATGCACCTCCGTCCCAGGGCTGTCCTGGCTGGGGAGGCTGTGTGGGGTGGGCACCTTTCCGGGCAGAGCTAGGACAGCCAGAGGTGCCCTGCAGGTGCCAGGCGGCGGGTCCTGCTCTGAGCTCTCCCTCTTTCCCCAGGCAGAGAAGTGTGAAGACGGCCTTGCTCTGAGTACTGGGGAACTGGCAGTCCGGGCCAAACTGGTCCTCCCAGCAGGGCCCAGTAAGCCCCAGGAGGCACAGGAAGGTACGTGAGCACCAACCTGGACACATGTCCGTGGCACCGTCACCAAGGCCTGGGGCAGTGGCAGGCTGCAAGGTGGGAGGGGGGTTGTCAGCTTCCCCTCCAGGTCCCCTCACTTCCTGCGTGCCGGGAACTCCCTGGGAGGTGTGGCCTCGGCCCACAGTGTGACTGGGGACAGAGACGAGGCAGGCAGGCCTCGGCACCCACTGTATACCGCTCTAAGGGCCCTAGAGCTGAGGCTGCTCCCGGGGGCAGACCGGACTGCCTGGAGAAGCCTGGCTGGGTATTGACAGTGCCTGGTAATGCCACATGGATGGGCATTTGGGCCATCTCCAGGCACCGGCCCTGCCAGGCTGAGCAGATGAGTGCCAGCCCCTGGGTCAGTGACGCACTGCCACCGACAGGGCGATGGAGCAAGGACAGGCCCTCACGGACCTTACCAAGCCGCCACGGTCTGGGTATGTGGAGACCGGAGGGAGTGCCACTTGTCCGCCGTGGGCTTTAGTGACTTCCTATTTGTCTGGATGGACGGTTGCTTTCCAAGCCCATAGCAGGTCCCCACGGTCAGCCCAGACCCTGGGAGCAGGGTCTCGGAGCTCCCACTTCCCCAAAGCCTCTGGCGGCAACTCAAGCCTGCCTCTTCTTTCTTTGGGCCCCCCATTCTGCTCTGTGGCTTCCCCCACCCCAGGGACCCAATAATCCTTCCATCCTGCAACCCTGCTGGCCAGCGGTGACAGGGCAGGGCCAGGCCAGGAGAGCCACCTCCCAGGAGACGTGGGCCCTGTCCCAGGGCCTGAAGGCTGCAGTGAGTAATTGCTGTGCTCTGCTCTTGGGCACACATGCTGCACGCCCAGGCACGGGACAGTGGCTCGGCCACAGACCCCGCTTTCGTTTCAGGGCCAGACCCGCTGCCGCCTAGCGGCCAGCTCTGCTTGGTGGTGCTGGGAGCCAGGAACCTACCTGTGCGGTCAGATGGCACCTTGAACTCATTCGTTAAGGGGTAGGTGTTCCGAGTCTCAGAAGATCCCGCGCTGATGACCGAGCGTCCACTCACAGGAGGCCGGAGCCCGTGGGACACCACAGTCATGCCTTTTCAACTTGCCTGTCCCAGTCTCCTTACAAAACTCTGCACGCATACCAAGGACTGAGTGCCCACAATTCGGGTTTGGACACACCGAGGCTGGGTTTGGAATACTGCGCTTTAACTTGAAACCTAAATCTCGTCAGCTCATATAACAGTAAATCCGTTCTGAAATTGAGCATGAAAAAGTACTGCGCTCAGTAAACATTTCCTTAGCTTGATAGCACGCCTTAGCTCAACTCTAAAAAGGATGACTCTCCACATTTTACTCTTTTTAAAAATGAGAGCACTAAGGGAGGGATGGAAGGAGAGAGAGGAGGTTGTATTTTATTTCTTGATGAGCTGTTACCATGCCGCGATCCGCCTGCCCTTAGGACCAGTAAGCCAGGACCACGGAATGCCAGCAGGCCCGCCCGTTTCAGGTCGGTCTGGCAACCAAGCCTGGGCTCTGGGCCGGCCTCAGCTCCTGCATGGGCACCTTCTGCCTGCACCACCGCTGGGCCCACGCTCGTCCCATAGGGCGTGCTGGCGTCTCCCAAACCGCGTACACCACTGGGAGCTCTGGCCAACCGCTAAATCCCGTCAGTGACGGCTGGCCGTGTCAAGGCAGAGATGTCCACGTCCTAGGCTGTCATGTATGTGGGCGTGCAGGGCGTGTGTGCCATCTCGGGCCTTCCTAAGCACACCCTAAGAACAGGTTAAGATGAGAACCCTGCGTGCAGAGTCCTGGCTGGTGGCGGCAGTCAGAGCAGGCTGTCCGATTTACCGCAGGGCAGGCGCGCGGAGGAGGCCGGGACGAGGGCCTCGAGCCTCAGGATCCCAACTTCCCCGTAATACTTGATGCAGAGCTCATCTCAAAAAGCAATCGGGAGCCTCCTATGAGAGGTCAGTAGTCTTGTCCTGTGATGCTCGCTCTAGTCACTGTTTAGAAGTGAGGTTTACAGGGTCAAAGGCGGCTGAATCCCACACAGCCGACTGGGTCTGCGGTTCAAGACCCAGACCCAGAGGCTTGAAAAACATACCGGGTGCTTGTGCATATGTGCCCCAAATCCCGAGAGAACAGAGGTGGAGTGGCCATCCCCCTGGGGGGTGCTTTCTCACTTTCCCTGTCTCTCTGGAAAGCAGCCACGTCTTACAGCAAATTAAAATAGTGTACAGCAGGCCTGGCGATTTTCCCCGGTCCGCACAGATGCAGTGCCCACGGGGAAGGGAAGGGAGGCCGTGTGGAAGGCGCTCACCGCAGGACCTGCCCGTGTCCCCTACAGCTGCCTCACTCTGCCAGACCAGCAGAAACTGAGACTCAAGTCTCCCGTCCTCAAGAAGCAGGGCTGTCCCCAGTGGAAACACTCCTTCGTGTTCGACGGCGTCAGCGCGTCCCAGCTGAGGCAGTCCAGCCTGGAGCTGACCGTGTGGGACCAGGCCCTCTTCGGAGTGAGCGACCGCCTGCTCGGGGGGGCCAGGCTCAGTTCAAGTAAGTCCGGCTTGGCCATCGGGCCCAGTGTCATTTTCCCTTAGTGACCGTTGCAGGTGGACACCGTAGCCGGCGCTGCTGGCTTTGAAACCGCCTAAGCTGCCATAAATGGAAATTCCTGGCCCGTTGTTATTCTAGGACCATGACCGAGCGATAATACAGACAGGTATTTCGACAATTTAAACCAGATTTAGACAGATCTGCTAAGGAATCAAAAATTACAGCTCTTGAAATGGGCTCGGTACAGTATTTGCTTTTGTTCCTGGCGTCAATCACAAACGGATTATTTTCTTAAAGGAAAATATCTTCTTACCCCAAACAAATGGCCATTGAGAAAGGGCTTCATTAAGATGAGGGGAGACAGCAGTGCTATTCAGGTGCTCTGGGGGCGGCCCTTTGTCGGGAGGGCTTGCACCCTGGCCCGTCGGCCAGCATCGGCTGCCAGACTGTGGCCACCACACACCCGCAC